TTATTTAAAAAAACTAGCAAGCTAAGGCAATGTGTGGGACATTTTCTATATTTCCCATTGTTTATTCTCCAGAAAGACTGGAACTCTTCCACCTGCATATCTCAAAACTCAAAGCAGAATTTGCATTTAAAATGTTTATTCATCTATGTTTCTGAGTGTAGTTCATATTTGAAGTACAGTATAGCTCTACATGCTTGTTCAGCTCTGTTTGAATACCTGTAACTGCAGAATAGCATCTTTATATCGGAGTCTTGAGAGAAACCAAATATTTGGACCACTGTTTGCTTTACCTTGTCTTACCTGATTGTAAACTTCACCTGTTAGTTCTATTAGAGAGAATGATTGCCAAGCCGCATGCATTTCAACATTGCTTGTCCAGGAACTGGAAAGTATTCATGAATACTAGACAGTTGACATTCCTTCACCCATTTACAGTCCTTCCTGTCATTTATAAGTGTCAGCTTTATTTTCCAATGCACTGTTTAATATGTTGGATAGCAAACCTTTTAATGGGAATTTGGCCAGGACACCGGGGTTACACCCCTACTCTTTACGAGAAGTCAGGACCTCGGTTTAACGTCTCATCCGAAGGACAGTGCTTTTTTACAGTATAGTGTCCCCATCACTACACTGGGGCGTTAGGGCCCACACAGACCACAGGGTGAGCACCCCCTGCTGGCCTCACTAACACCTCTTCCAACAGTAGCCTAGTTCCCTTTCATGGGAACTTCGAACTGCGTCCTCTAGGGGTCGCTATGGGGAACGCCTCGTCGTGACCCGTGTCTGAAGCATACATTGAAAAAAAAAAAAAAACTCGTTGGCCAGCGACGCCCAGTACTTCTGGGTATCTGTAAACAGATGCTTGGAAAACTCTAAAATAAGTGCAGCACGTTAAGCTTTGCGCACTTTTCTACAAATCCACATAAGTGGTAAGTGTGCACGTTATGCTTTGCCCACTTTTGTAAAATCCTGTATGGTAGGGATTACACGTTTTTGACCTCGTTCCCTTTTTCTGAGTTGGTTAGACCCCGGTTCCTTGGGCTCCACTCAACTAGTGTGTCTCTACTGACACACTCTGGAAGCATTGCTCCCCTCACCAGTAAGGGTTATTATGAGTATGGTGCTTTCTTTCGAGCGTTAATCCTCTCTGAGGAGTTGGATGCCTCGCTCCA